AGAGCGGGGGGGGTTTTTGTGTGTGGATAAGGTGAGGGTGGGGGAACTGGTAAATCCAGAGGGCTTCCTGAAATTGCCAGTGGAGGTACCAGAGGGAGAACTTCGCTTGGTCGGCGATGTTGCACGTGGAATGAATGTTACAGGAAATGAGAGAACCTAAAGGACCTCCCAGAGGTGGAGAGAGAGCACATGAATGAGGGGTGTATGCCTAGAAGGAGCAAGACAGCCACTGTGTTACCACGGGGATTCTGGGAGGTACTGTAGTGCCGCTTGCGGGGAGGAAGCGACAGTAGAGAATGTAGTAACTTGGAGAGTCCCTTAGAATCAGGGTGCTGGGCTGTGGCAGGAGGGCTGTGGGAGCCCAGGTGACGCACCCCTGCTCTCAGGGAGGTCTGTCTGGACCAAGGACCCAGCTACCGCATGGGACGTGAGGTGCCGTGGTTAAACAGCAGCAGGGGCACGACCCTGGTGGAACTTAACAGAAAGCCCCGCAGGCCACAGGGATGTGTCCAGTGGTCGCTACAGTTGTACTTTCTAAGCTTACGGTCTGTCCTTAGCGCACAGTCAATACAGAGTGACATCGCACAAGTCATCACGAGTTGGGCTGAGATGGACTGAGGGGTGGGGGCTGACTGGCCATCATCCCCGTGGTGTGCCCCATACAGCATGGGGCCAGCGCCGCCAATGCTGCTCTCCTCAAATGGGAGGAGAGAAAAAGCCTCCGCCACGTTAATAACTTTATTCCCCAAACTTCAAAAATGAAATTGCCAAGTTAAAAACTCGCCTTGAAAAAAAAAAATTCTAATTTATTATAAAGAAGGTCCGGGGCTGGGGAATTTTGTAATGCAGATTCCTAATTTTCCAAAGTGAGGTTCTCCTGTGCATTTGAGTAGATTATGCTCGGCTCTGCTTGCCCTCAGCACAACGGGAACGTTATTAAAACGGCTGCCCCTGTCTCTGGAGGGGCGCTGCTTCTCGCTTCCTTTCTCATTTTGGGGACTTCATCAGACACTGTCCCTTTCGACAGTGGAAGAAATTGGGTTTCTGGGAGGCGACCTAGAGATGTGCTCAGCGGGGCAGGCCTTGAGGAAACAAGTCAGACCGGGTCCGACAGTGATGAGATTAGACCCCCCGGGATGAGGAGGACGTGGGCCTCCTTCCAGAGGCCCTCGTGTGCCCGGGCCCTGCCCGCCTTGGCCCCGGCTTTCCTGAGGACACAGCGCCAGAGAGCAGCTGGCGCTCTCAGGTAATGAGCATCGCGGGGCAGTGCGGCAGGGCCTCCCCTGAGAGGCGGGCTCAGCCTCCTGCAATCCTAGTGGGAAGAAGGCAGGGGGACCAGAGCGAGTTCCCCACAGGAAACGCACATGGAAGACATTCCTATGCGCAAGCCACTCTAGCAGCCCTAGAGTGGGGAGGAGGGCCCTCCAAAAGCCAACTGGCCTCCAAGTGTAGTACTTGCCCCCCGGGAGAGACTATGTTCTAGTGGGAAGAAGGCAGGGGGACCAGAGCGAGTTCCCCACAGGAAACGCACATGGAAGACATTCCTATGCGCAAGCCACTCTAGCAGCCCTAGAGTGGGGAGGAGGGCCCTCCAAAAGCCAACTGGCCTCCAAGTGTAGTACTCTCCCCTCCCCCCCCCAGAGACTATGTTCTGGCGACCTCCACCCCTCTGCCCTCCCACCTACTCCACTGCTGCCCTAACTCCTCCCATGATTCCCCCCACCCTTACTGGTTTCTTTGGAAACCAGCCCAGCCCAGGGAAGCCCATGGCAATCTCGCCATAGCCCAGTGGCCCAGCCAAGGCCATAAGGACACCAGACCTTGGCCTAGTCTCTACTATGGATGCTGGGATTTCCCGCCGGATTCTTCAGCCCTGGATCTCGGAGGTCACAAACAGGTGTGTGGCTTCCCCAGGGCAAATTATTCCCCTGCTGTAAATGTTCGTTCCTCCCTTCGTCCCTTCATCCCTCCCTCCCTCCCTCCCTTACTTCCTCCCTCCCTCCCTTCCTCTCTTCCTTCCTACCTCTCCGTGAGTAGTTTAATGGTGAAGTACCGGTGACTCCTCAGAGACGACAGCCTGGGGACAGTCCCTGTTGGGGAATTGGAGCTTCCCTTTCTCACCCAAAAGGCTAGACCAGCTCCATGGTGGCTTCCAGGGCGCTGAGCGCCTCAGGGACGCTGCCCCACCCCCAACTTCCGTTCCGCCAGCAACCGGGATTTATTAAGCTCCGCTGTGTGCTGAGGCTCCTCTACTTAACTACACTCGGATCAGCATTCTTGGGCAGCACAGGCCCTTCTTGCAGGCCTCCTGCTAATCCCCACCAAACCCAAACTTCTCCCAGCTGCCGGGGCAGCAAAACAGGCTGGAGAGAGGCAGCCGCTGCCAGCTGCCAATGCAGTGCCCTCGACCTCCTGGCCCCACCCCCAGTCGCCCCTGAACCTTGGGTATGGGGGTGAGGGCCTTTGGGCCCACCACCTGCTAAACACAGGAAGTGCCCTATTGCCATGCCCATTGCTACTATGGCCCTTGGAGAGCAGCATCCGGACAGTAAAGGAACACCCCAAATTCCTGCTCTTTACCGACACCCAGCACTGCCTGCGTCTACTAAGAAGAATGTTGTCCCCACTGTGGGCCTGGTTTCCAGGGCTCCCCTAGCCCAGTGGTCGGCAAACTCATTAATCAACAGAACCAAGTATCAACTGTTGCGGCCAAAGGGCCTGCTCTGGCGCTACTTTCAAACTCAGTCCCTGGTCGGATGCCATATGTTGCGGCCAAAGGTAAACTGAGTGGGGGGGTGAAAGGATTAAGGAAAGGCAGATAAGAGAATGAAAGCTGGGTCTGGGTGGGACGCTGCTCCCCGATGAGGAGACAGTGCCAGCGCCCACAAGCCGTGTCTTTATTTTATAGCAGATGCCACGAGGCAAAGTGGGAGCGTGATCAAGTTGTTTACAGCACTCTCGTGAGTTTCAACCTCACTCAACTACATGCACCCGGACTCTACCACAAGGCACGTGGGGCTGGCTACGTGTTCGGACCATAGGTTCAAGCTTACAACCACAGCCATTGGCTATGATTGTGCTGTAAGTACATTGTTATTAACTTAATTAGGGTACTCCTAAGGCTTAGGAAGAGCCACACTCAAGGGGCCAAAGAGCCGCATGTGGCTCACGAGCCGCAGTTTGCCGACCACGGCCCTCCTCCAAGCCTCTTGCTCCTCATTCGCTCTGCAGAGGGAAAGGGCCAATGTGGCTCACCCGGAAGCATTCACACAGAGGGTCTGTGTCAGGGCCAAGTCTGGCCTGCGGTAATTCATGAAAAGCTACTGCCGTGGGCAGAGTGCTTGCTGGGCATGAGTGCAGGGCATAGGGAGACTAGGAAGGAGCATGGAGTCGATGCGTGGGGGCAGGGTGGGGACAAAGGACACGTCCTGGCAGGCTGATGAATGCCCAGTGCTCTTGCACTTTTGCAGGCTGAGGAGTCAAGTGCTCTTGACTTTTGCCCAGTGCTCTTGCACTTCTGCCGGCTTGCTAGACGCTCTGCCAAGTGCAGTTTCAGGAGGATAACAGGATAGATAGAGCAACTGCTAGAGCTCACACCAGGCTGGGGGAGTCAGGGCCTGCCCTGTGTCTGCACCCTAATCTCCTCATGCTGCACAGCCCTGGGCTGCCCATGAGAACAGCTGTGTTTGAGATGTCTGATGCAGGGATGTCAGGGCAGGGCAACGACTGAAAGGAGTGGGAAATGCTGCCTGGCACAAAATGGGCACTCACTGCACATTTGCTCAATGAATGAATGAATATTCTAGCTGGCTGCATTTCACATGACAGACACTTGATAAATAATTATCGAATTAATATTGACTTGTGAGACCAAGCTAGAGAGAATAGGACAGTGTGAAGGTCACGGTCAGAGGATGGAGGCTGCTGTGGCAGCACAGCATTGTGGCTAACTCAGGGTCTCGGAGAATGAGGTGTGGGAGGCGCACAGGGGGGCAAAGGTTAGAAATGATCAGCGCAAGGCCTACAGTAGCCCAACCAGGAAGCCGGGCCAGGCTTCCAGGAGCAGGAGAGGGGTGATGGGACCAGGAGGAGAGGCTGCCGGGAGCTGCAACCAGCTGGAGTCTCTGAGGCCCCTGGGGACTGCAACCAGAGGGAAGGGCTGCAGGGCGTAGAGAGATAGAAGCTGAGCGAGTCCTGAAGAGAAGGGAGATTCCTCCAATGGGCAGGCAGAGAAAGTGAACATAGGGGCTCCAGTGATCATGAATGGGGGGCTGGTCTAAAAGAGCCTCTAGTTCAGTGGTTCTCAACCTTCCTAATGCCGCGACCCTTTAATACAGTTCCTCCTGTTGTGGTGACCCCCAACCATAACATTATTTTCGTTGCTACTTCATAACTGTAATTTTGCTACTGTTATGAATCGTCATGTAAATATCTGATACGCAGGATGTATTTTCAGGGGTCGCAACCCACAGGTTGAGAACCGCTGCCTAGTTTAAAAGTTTCCCCAAACACTCAAAGGCAGACTCCATTTATCAAATATTCCTGGTTTGGAGCATTTGTCTGATGTCTGCTGTGAGTGGGGGGACAGGGTTGGGTGGGGACAGGACCATGGCCTGGTGTTCTAGGCAATGGTGAATAGGAGCTGAACCCTGTGTTTGTCAAATGCAATGACTTCCTTCCAGTGTTTGTCCGGCTCTCTCCAGAGAGGCCTCCCCAGGCCGGCCAGGGAAGAGCCCAGACCCACCAGGCCCTGCCCTCAGCCCCTGGAAGGCACGCACCCCTCCCATCACTGGGTGGACACTCACCTGTGGACTGTCCTGGTAGGGTGGGGGAGGGACATTTTGCGTGGCCATCATCGTCAGAGCTGGGGCTGGGGAGGCATGTTGCATCATGGGATTGATTCACATCAAGGATCTGTGGCAGGAGAAAGGGGGCCACACGTTAATACTGAGCACAGGGAGCCCGGGAACCAGCAGGTGGGCATCTCCTCAGGCAGGGCCACCTGGACTGACCAGACACTGCAAGGGATGAAAGCCCGGGAGAGGCCTTGCTGAGAGATTTGACTTGAAAGAAACAATATTCAAATCAGATGTAAAATAACTTGTAAAAGCCATGCTTAGCTCAGCATCAGCTGGGGTTGGAGCTTGGAGAGGGCAAGGAGAGGGGGTAGAGGCGTGGCTGGTGGCAGCACAGGGGAATGGGGCTGTTCGGGTACCCACAAGATAAGGCGCTTTTCCTGTCCCAGGCCTTCAGAGCGGCCACCTGCACTGTCAGGGCAGGGAGGCCTCGGGCCTTTGCCCTTCCAGCTCCAGTTCCCACCTCTCTGCTGGCTCCTGCTCCCTGGTGTGCTCACCACACCCCCTAGTGGTGGGAAGGGACGTGGGGCTCTGGTCCCCTTAGGAGGGTGGAGGAAGCAGGGCAGGGCGGGGAGGATGCCTATCACCTGTGGGGTTTTCCAGGGGTGGGGTGGGGTGTGTGTGTGTGTGCGTGTGTGCGCTGATGGGCTTACAGAGGTGCCTGCCCATTCTACAAAGGGAGACTTTCCTTGGACTTCGTTCAACACAGAGTCAGAGCCCAGTGGCCACCCCGCTTCTTATAGCCCAGAAGATGGAGGCCAAGAGGAATGAGGTGTGTGTTGGGGGGCTGTGTGCTAGCGAACAGGAATGGGATCCAAGTCTCCAGATTCCCAGTTCCTGATCTGCTCTACTGGGTCCCTGACCCGCACCCCACAATGACAAGCAAGCTGCCTCCACTGGGCCTCAAGGTATCTTCTTGAACCAGAGCTGCTGCCGTAAGGGGAGACAGCCTCGCCGGGCAGTGCCACCCAGGGTAACAGGATGCCCAGAGAGCTGTGTGGTTCAGTAGATGCCCTGAAATATTTAGAGCTAGAAACCACAGGCATGTCACCGTGGGGCCAGGAACCTCTGTGGGGTGCAGGCCCTGTCCTCCCGGGGGTGGGGGAGCAAAGATATTTGTGAGCACAGCCCTCAGACTTCCTTCTCTACTCCTCCTCGCCCTGAGCTCCCCTCCCCAGGGTCTCCCAACATGTCCCATGCCTGAATTCGGGGGGAATTTGAGGGTGATCTGGAGCTGCCTAAGCAAAGAGCAGGGTCTCCAGGGTGCTATGTGGCATGCATGTGTGTGTGCATGTGTGTGTGTACATGTGTGTGCACTGGTTCTTTTTCAGGAAGAGAAAAGATCAGTTCTGGCTGACCTGTCTCTGAAGGCATGCTTTGACCTTAAGTGCACATGGGAAGCACTGGAAACCCAGGTATTCATTCAAATAATGCTGCTAAATGTCAACAGCGTGCGGGAGCTGTGCTGGAGGTTGTGGAAGCTCTCCCTTTGGACCCTGAGAGAATGAAGGAAATATGGATGTGGGGGGTAGGCTCAGCCTTTCCTGGAACTCTGGAAGATGAGGTAACTTTTGATGGGTCTGTGGGTCCCAAAGGCAAAGGTAGAGCCCTTCTGGGAACACCAATTTCAGATGCTTCTTTGCTGGAAGAAAGTGAGCCTCTGTGGGCTGTAGTGCCAGTAGCCTCCAGCAGAGGGAGTGTGGGGGCAGACTCTGGGGTGAGAGCTCAACAGGCAGTTTTAGGGGCAACTAGTTCCAGGATGAAAAAGTCATAGTGAAGGCAAAGCGAAGGAAGTGCATTGAGGAGGATTTGGGCTAAAGAGAGAATCCTTTCATCTGCATTCTTTTGTTCCCTGTCCAATGAATGGGAGGCCAGGCGTTTTAGAGTTGCTGTCCCTAGAAATATTCACACAGCTTGAGGGCTGCCCTGCCTGGGGGTCAGGAGGGGTGGTTAGGAGTGATCTGCTCCCAGAAAACAACCACTGCCAGGCTGAGCGGAGACTTCCCAGTCCAGAGGCTGCCAGGCTGTGGAGGAGGGGCCAGCCCTGCCTCGGAGGACACAGGGAAACTGTCCGGAGGATGCAGATGGCCTTTGCCCCGCCCCTCCCCCTCTCTGGGGTCACCACAGGCCACTAGACCACTGCCCCATTGCCCTCTGGGCTTCTCCTGCAAGAGAACAGAAGGCCTTTTCATCAGGGGCTTAAGTTTCCCTCTCTGCTCACTCAGGCGCAGAGCCCTGGTAATCTGAGCGAGGGAGACGGTGCCACCTTCTCTTCTTCACAAGCCCCCACCACACAGACACTGCCCATCCTCGGGGCAGCCCGCTGGCCAGGCCTGGGGCTGGGGGGCTAAGCGAGACCACCTGGAGAGGGATGTAGAGACCTGCCTTTTTGTGCCAGCTGGGGTGTGGGAGCTCCTTGGGCAACCTCTGGATGTCGAGCCCTCTGGGGAACCCACCCTCGGGGAGGGGGAAGGGGAGCAGCAGGCCTGAGTGGCAGCCGCCCAGCCCTGTCTTCTGAGCTTTTGTTGGGCTGGGAGAGCCACGCGCCCTGTCCAGAGGCCCCAGCGCTGTTACCAAACACCAGGGCACTCTCGAGGGAGCAGGGCCAAGACTACAGATGGAGGACACACCAGGAATAATTCCCCACAGGGCAACGTTCCTACCGAGGAGAGGCTGGTGTCGGGAGATGGCTTCTAATGCTGAGAACCTTCATTACGTGACAGCTAGGAGGGGGAAAGCCTAATGCAGCACTCGACCCCGTGATATCCGAGAAGAAATAACTCATGTCACTGATATTATCATCAAAAAGAGCTACAAATGCCATTTTCCAAAACCCAGGACCTGGTGAGGCAGTGTGCCTGGGCCGGGGGGGGGCGGCGGTGTGGTGAGGGGCGTGGAAGGACAGCCCTTTAGGAGGTAGACAGGGGCAGCTCACCGCCTCCCCAACTCTCTAGCTCCCCCAGCCCTGCCGGGGAGGCCCTTAGCCAGGAGCCCAAACCCCAGTGTGTTGACAAACAGGCTTAGAAACTAAAAGACCCAGCTCGTTAGGAAGGAGCTCATTAGGACTTGTTGACATGAAACCTATTAGACCAATTAACATTCCATTAACGGCCTGGGGCACCAAGGGGTTAATGCGGCCCAGTAATTGGGCCGGGGTGCTGGGGTTGGGGGCTCAGGGCCTGAAGGATGAGAAAGCCTAATTGGGAACTCGCTGGCCAGCTGGCCCCTGCGGCATCTGTCCTAGCTGGGACCCTAGCTGGGACAGAGCATCCTACTACAGTGGAGATGGAAGGAAGGGACCACTTCCCTTCAGCTCTCCACTGTCCCACCCCGTGGCCCCAGACTGACGACGGGGCACAAGGACAAGTTGGGAGTACTGCCGCCCTCTCAGACTCTGAAAGTGGTCTACTCCCCCCCCCCCCC